CAAGGAAGCACCAAATACATATGCGTCACACAAATCACATTAGATATGTGTTAGGGCTGTGATACTGCCTGGGTGCCCAAACCGAAGCAGGTGGTTCTCTTAGGAGGCCACACCCGGAGCCTTCGACCTGAAGGTCTGACCCACAAGGTAATGGAGCATCGTAAGGAGATGCACTCTCATGGTAGCCGGTGACCAACGACTGGTTCATACGCTATTTGTTCCCTCAGGAAAATGGAGCCCATATGCACCATTGGTTTGGAATCAGGGTTTTTCAACTTCCCTAGGTTGACTATCCATATCCACCGACCCGGTTAAAGCTCCGGACATTCGGTTTTCGTCCTCTCAATTTCGTAAACAACACCCCTTCGTGAGAAGGCAGTGATTAGGACTTACCTGATAATAATTGTATACGCGTAACCGTGTGAGAGTATTTCAAGAGGGAGAACGGACTCTTCCCATTCTCGGCCGTACCTGGGCATTTGGGGGCACATATTAGTATTGTGAAAATTCTACATTCATGACAGGATCTTTCATTCAGTTTAATTATGATAATTCCTAAATAGAATGTTCATTTGATAAATGAATTTCACTGATGTTTGCCTATGTGCTATATTCTGAAATTCATAAGTCTCGACTTTATGGACGTCCACCTCAAAACTTACCACCGTATTATCAACTAAATTTAATTCTTTTTCTCTGAACTATACAAGTTCCTACAAAACACTAACGTAAGATGATTAAGATGACTAAAAGTTGAATAAATTTTTACCTCAATAATTCTATCATTTTTGACAACACATTGGTTAACTAAGGCAAAGAAAACAATCCATGGATTATTAATTACTCTCTTGTTGTCTATCGAACAAATTTATTCAAATGTAAATGAATATATATTTCATACAAATCAGTGATATTTGTATATACTTTTTATATTTGCAATAAATCAATAATGGAAATCTAATATCATTGAAAGTAGATCACCTTTCTCAGAACAATGTATTTAGTTCATTCTGATTATGTGAATACCAATGTGTTTTTTATTACTAATAGACATTTGTAATTAACACTTTATCAACCTTCATTAATTATGATAGATGAAGAAAATAAGATATATTTATTTCAGCCATTAAAATCTACATTTAATTATAGTCAAACTAATATAATAGTTTGATCTTTGTATATATAAGTCCATAATATTTTCTTGATTTGTTAAGTAGGATAAACAAGAGCATATATTTTAAGATATACATTGGTTAACATTCTACCTTAATAAAGAAATTTACTGAATTTTGTGCTTTGAAATGATTCATGAGTTACTGTGTGTCGTTCTTTTTCTGTTGATAAACGAAACTAATCTTGGGATGTTAACACATCTGATATCTGTGGCACCGTAGCAAATATAATCGTAATCCAGTTACATATAATTTCTAAAGGTTTCTTTGATTTTGAATTCAGTACATATCGTGTATAGTGGAGTCGATACATCTATGAATTTCAGAACTTATGTAAAACGTAATGAGGTTATACTTGGTTTTCTCGTTATACCTTTCAAATTTTTATAAGTATTTTGGTTACACATTGCATGGTGCATGCATGAACGCAGACAAGAATATCTGTATGGATATTTGTCTTTATTTTTATGCATCGATAAAGTGGCTTTTCCGACATCTACTAAAAAGTCTGTTTTTATTATCTATTTGAAAAATTCTTTCGAGGACCACTGTAATCAATCATTTACAACTGTAAACATCTACCATCTTTATTAAAAGCTGTGGATGTGGATCTAACCAACAACGTCTCTTCATTACAATAAGACATTACCTCCAATAAATGTTAAAAGATAAAAATACATTGACAGATTAATTTTATTAGGAAGTGTTATATTAAGATCATGTAGTTGAGGAAAATTATAAATATTTCATGTTGGACACATTTATATATTCCAGTAACGTGTGAACAGTACACAGTCTGTTTATCTATAAATATGTATTAAAAATATTTACAAAATCAAATGTTCTATGAAGGTGTAGGATAATGATCGTTTTATTTACTTATATATAAAAACATCTAAACGGCTATATGAAAATTTTAAGCTACTGGGAGTTAAAAGATCATGGGAAATATAAAAAAAACACTAAGCAAGTAATTTGTCATGTTTTGTAATTTCTCAGCAATTCACATACATTTACTCTAAAAATCATATAGCTAACCAAAAATTTGCAACTCCTTAATCTTTAAAAATGTTTGACTGAATGAGTTAGAATAAATAATGACTGAAGATTAAAACTTCTATCAGCATTGTAAACTAAGTACCTATGAAACATATCCATTCACAAGAAAACATGCCTTTATCATTTTTATGAATGATGCAAACAGTAAAGATTACTGAGTACAAATAATATGAATTTAACTGCCATTGAACTACAAGAGAACAAATGTGCACAAGATATAAAGAAAGATTCGAAATAACTGAATGATTGAACATATTTATCAAATAATTGCACAATACATATAAGTGACTAATGGAATAACTATCTTAAATGGATATGTTACTCATTCTAACCAGATAATAAAGCAAGCAACTTAAATCATACTCTACGAAAACCATTGAAAATAGATAATAATAAAAGACGTAAATAACATTGACAAATTAATTGTTGTTAAATAGAGCTTTCTTCTAAAGTGAAGGTTTTATTCAAATATCAAAGTAAATTATTAACCAACTAAACCGTAGAGAATAAACTAAGATATCGTTAAATATGAAAAGACTAATGATCACTCTTTAAAGGCCAAATAAAAATAATTTTCCAAAATTTATGACTATGATTTTATTAAAACAATAAGACTCGGCATATTCAAACTTTAAAAATATGAAAAATTAAATTTATAGACTTAAATCACAATGTATAAAACTGGTCAATGAGACGAGCAAATAACGTGACCAAGTTCATATCCTAATACATATAATGTAAAACGTAGTTGTATATAAGATGTTAAAGGCTGTTTTTAGCTTCTGAGAATATGCTCAATTTGGCCATCATTACTTACTATTCAGAAATCAGATATTTTAATCCTAAATTGAACATTATCAAAAATAAATGTTAAGCTCATATTTAATGCCTATGAAATGTTGGCATTTTAGAGAAACGAATAGAATATTTGTAATATCGAAAAATTTCGAGAACAGAAAGCTATACTTTGTCGACTTTTAGCCTTACAATATTTCGAAAAACCGTGCATTTTCTTGATGGATCATAAAAATTAATTGTTATATCCCGGTGAGAATCATGAATGGTAACTTTTGAGATCCATTTATGGACCGATCCTTTGCGTATAATTTTATCATATAATCGTTAAATAAATGAAATATTCATATTGGTTTCTCTCTTATTATGAGCTTTATTTTGACCTATGAACTGTTATTATACGACTTACCATTCTTGAGTTATACCCAGTCCATCAGTTATTACCACCCACAATCACAGCCACTTTTGGCTAAATCTTGTACAAATATTTCTTCCTATTTTATGATAAGATGTGGTCTGTCTGGTCGGTATATAAACCCAGTATGTTTGAAATAAACGATTTATACTGCAGAGGCTGAGATTGGTGTTCTGGACCTAACTGGACCAATCAGGACTCTAGGCTGCTCGCATGGGTTTTATGCGTCATTGTTCCGATCGATAATTCACTGTTCTCTAATTGGCGATATCGTCACGTTATACATTAATAGGAAACAGAGTACAAGTTATAATAATGTGAAAACAAAGTATGTTTTTGAATAATTTAATTTAACATCGTGCAAATTAAACCATTTCTTCTAAGTTATATAACTAAATAAAAGAGGGAGAAAAAAATATCCGATTTCCGCACTTTTAAAGATGAACTGTCATAAAGCACCTCACACTCTACCTATTTGTGTTAATGACTGCTTATACTAACAATTTATATCCTTTTTTGTATAATTCATATGATTCTATTATTTTTGTCTGTAAATAATTTGTAATAATGATTACTTGAATTTAAAATGTTATCTAAACTACTATTGGTCAATTCATGTTTTCATGATTACATCAATTGACCAATCAGAAAAAACTACTAATTACAAAAAGAAAAGTATTAATTAATTAAATCCTTACTCCTATGTATATAAAACAACTGTTGTATAATTATGACGTAAAGCGTATCCTGTTTCAAGAGTGTCAAGATTACATCTGATCTAAATAAACAGTGATTAAACTATTTTTATTCAGGTAGTGTCATATGTTTTATTATTTTTTTTCTAACAAATGAAAATTCATGATAGATTATAAATCGACTCCAAATTTTGGCAATGAATTTATTTCATTTGATTGATTGATTGATTTTTTTAAAATATCACATGGTTGTAATTAGTTTCAATTATGACATTTTTAACTTTTATCTTTGTTCTGTTTAATTAATTAATTAATTAATTTGTTTGTTTTCAAGGAAAAAGAAGTCAATTATTATGAAACATTCAATTGATGAACAAGAAGTATTTTCATTACTTACTTTTCTTTATTGAAATCAACACTATTTTGAAATACAACTATTATCCTTTTCTTTATACATATTCAATTTTTCAACTTGTACGTGAGTATTTATTTTCTAAGGAAAACCACTGTTCATAATTTTTTTCTGGTTAAATTTTAATGATGAACACAATGTATATCAATATTTCAACCAATCATTTAATGGTTCAAAGATGCTTGTAAACAATCCTGATAAAATTGCTTATTGTATTTTCAAAGTTATTCCTTGGCAGGTAGTACAAACGTTATCAAAGAAAATAAACTATATGGATATATGTTTTATGATGAAAATGAAAGATCATATTAGTTGCTCTCAAATAGAAACTGTACTGATTCATTATTGATTTTGTATAGTTATTGATTTCTTTTGAAATTTCATATTATATTTAAACGATCTAATTTCATATCTTATCACCTGGAATTTGGAGTGTATTCAATCGATTACAAATGAAACTGCTTTTAAATAATTATCATAATGTACTCTTAACATCAATATTCTTATTATTGTCCCTAGCATCGTTAAATAATTTATTTATTCAATGTGATTTATTATTCAATGAAGAAGATCATCATTACAACAATAATCATCGCGAAAAGAATATAACCAATAATAATAATAATAATAATAATAATAATAATAATAATGAATCATTTCACTATGTCGAAAAAAATGCAGACGTGAAGAATCATGTTCATGAAAGTTTGGGAGCCGATGAATATCATACAGAAAATATTGAGACTGAGAGCGCAAATCGAAGTGACGTATTGTCAAAATCAATAACTGAAGTAAATCATGATAGATCATTACCTGTAACAAATAATGCACCTAATAATGTTACTGATAATAAATACCCAATAACTAAAATAGTTTCAAACAAATCATCATTGTATAAATATTCATTGAACCAAGATGTATCTAATAAAAAATTAATTAATAATAGAAAAGTATCTAATAGTAAATATTTATCTTCTTGGGCATTTTCAGCACCATCAACACTGATTAAGTCTTCAACAAAAATTGTTGAGAATTGGCCACTTAGCGACTATCGTATTGAATTCATTGAAGGTAAGCTATTTTTTTCTAGCTTAACTTATTATTCTACTCAATGCATTCACCTTTTTTATCTTTAAAAGCAAGCGATGCACGATTCATAAAAGAATTTATTTAATTTTGGAGTTAAGATATAAATATAATCGTATTCTATACTTTAAGACTTTTGGAATAACCTACCTATTGGAATCTGGAATATCGTTACAATCATTCAGATGATAATATAGAATACAGTATGGTTATAAGGATCATTAAAACGTGATGTCCAATACTCCTGATAACGATAGATACTTTTGTATACTTCAACAGACTTTACTGTATTATTTGATGTTAACTGATATCCATGAAAGCCAGTCAAGGATAGATAACTTCGGGTTCATGAATAATTTAAGTATGTTTTAAGATGTGAGTAGAATCCAGACTACTGTTCTTTATTTTGCAATTATATAATGATCACGGAAGTTTCCTTTGAAGTGTCTACTACAACGCTGTTGCTTAAAAGTCACTCATTTCAAATAATTGAGGTTATGTTTTTAATCCATCTTTTAATAGATGATATTGTTCTTCAAACGATCAAAATGAAATAGTGTTTTGTTAAGAGAGCTTTATCATGTTTTCACTAAAATTAATAGATTGTAAAATATCCTAATGTATTTTCCACAATTATCCTATCTATGTCAAACATTCTTATGAGTAATTGAATTCTACAATTTACCCTGCGTGTTACAAACTTTGTTATACAGAGTAATACTACTAATATAAATTAGCAACAGTATAACTAAGATTTGCCGAAATATAGATATAAAAACGGTAGAAAACTAAACTAATTTTAGGCGATTTCATCCATCTTGAAATATGTTAAGAAAACAATCCAAGTGTTTCCTTTTGACAACCAGCATGACAGCGATGCTGCCTTCCCATAAAGAAGGGTGGGGTTAGAATAGGTTGACCCTAAAAATGCAAACTTAGCCTTATCTCACGAATATCCGTTGCTGGCAGTAAGGTCTCAACAAGTACGGGGCTAACACAAAAATTACCCATAAAAATGTCGTGTGTGATCGGCCTTAAGCAGTTGTCCCTTAGGCACTGAGATCAAGTCACCAAAACCATACATAACCCAATTTTCTTTCAAGTACCTTCAGAATAACCCTTCCACGGTGTGGGCAACCGGGAAGTGATAACCATCCTCATATCTTTAACAGCACTCAAGACCACTGTATAGATACGCATTTTAAGTTGAGCACGATGAATTGACAATCAATTCTGCAATATTTTGGGCTAAATGTAAACTTTTAGCAAGTTCATGCATAAGAAAATGTTCACTGTTGTACAACTTTAAAATTATTACCATGCCTAAACATCAACACATTTTTTTATTTATCGGATCATCAGTGGTATGTTTGTGTTACATATGTGTAAACAATGAAATTTTCTTAGTGTTAAACTATGCTCATCATATGGACTGAAACTTATCTCCCAAAAACAACCAACACTTTAATGTTGTTTAATATCTCCTAAACGTTTTGTGAACTATTTCATGTTTCATTTAGAGTCATTTCCAAGTGTTCTGATGTATCACATGATCTCTTGTTTATGTAAGAATTCGATTGATAAAAAGATTTATATTGTGATGCACCTGTTAAGAATAATTTTTTGGTCCAATGTTTACTCATTTTTCAAAGGTAACAGTATTAAAAAAGCTATGAAATACCATGTATTGTCAGAATCATTCATTCTTTAGAAATGTTTTCAAACCGGTTTACAATTGCAGTCAAACACCTAGTAGAGTAATGCAAATGGGTCTAAATTTGGGCTTAGCCATAAGATATATTTTCTAGCTTTGCGAATAAAGGCAATGGACTTATTGAAGCTAGACATTAAGACTTGGATTGCGGCTCATTGGTCTAGAGGTTCAGCTCCCGTGCGCAGGACCGAAGGCCCTGGGTCCGAATCCCGCGAGCGGGATCGTGGATGCAAATTGCTGAGGAGTCCCATGCTAGGACGAAACGGCCGTTTAGTGCTTTCCAGTCTTCCATGCTGGTTTAGCTTTCATTGATTCATGAATTCAATCATTAATTTACCAGGACGTTTTGACCTGCACTAAACAACATAACAAAGTAATGATAAATACTTTGTTAGTGAATAGATTTTAATCATAGTCGGTAAATTTCAGCAAACGATACGTTCCATTGTATGAAGCCCATCATCATTATACTCTGGAATTTTAAATATCTACGAATATTAAAATAATCCTTTCAAAGTGATTACCTCTTGTTCATATTAAAGACTTTTGAAGATCTTCGGATAATGTTTTCGATGCATAGGTTTCAAGGTAATTGAGCATCGTTGCTTGGAACGATAGATAAAAAAGTTTTAAGTATTTCTTATAATGATAAACTAAGTCTTTAAAAGATATATAAATAAACATTCCCCACTTAACGTATACATTATGGTTATAGAAAATTTGAAATAAAAATAACTGTTACTATATTTTCATATTTGAAAATCAGTTACCTATGGGTTTGAGGAGATCGCTGATCAGTCATAAAAGAATTAACTACGTCCTCAAAGTTAGGGTTCCAATCATTTCCCTACTTATGTAGAAGTAGTTCCAATTGCAAAAATGCAAAAATTTTCTGTCTATAAGCTAACTGTGATTTAACCATCATCAGACTATTTATGTAATTATGAATAAATGTTTATTAAACAAGCATTTATATAAGAATTGTTGAGAGACGTCATCCCTAATACATCAGTAACTGATTACATCACGTAAGATTCTCGATGCTGTTGGTAATCGATTATTCGACGTGATTTTACTTGAATCGAGTCATCTTTTCTAGACATATATTTTCTACTATAATTCACACTGCAGTCATTTTGCCATGGTCAGTTAGCTTCTCGACAAATACCTAACGCATGATGGCAACCGAATGTCAATTAACTATCGTGTTAGATTGCAATCATAACTACGTATAATTATTCCTGATTTGATTCATTTAAACTTCCGAAGTCATATGACTAAAGTTGGGAATTATTCTCCCAGTTTAATAAAAACAGATACTTTTATGATATGTCCTAAGGTGGATCTAAATTATGGAAATCCTAGTAACATCACATAGAATCGAATGAGCAGTCAACTAGTGGAGAAATCTTGTAGGTCATAATCTGATATACTGAAATAATTCCTCTTTATGAATTATTCTCTCCGTTTTAGAATCACTAAGAAACAACTAAGCAAAATTACTAAAATATTGGTGTTACGAATTCTGTTTTTTTAGCTAGTGAATGAGAATTAATTTTGTTTGAGTAAACCTATCAAAAACACCATTGTAAAAATGTCATAGTGAATAACAAGGTCAGTTTTTGCAGTTGTTTCGTAACTACTGTACATAAATTTCAAAAATGACTTGTATTGAATATGTGAGAAATATTTCTTGAGAAACGTTGTCCAACAAAAAAACATAATTGGAACGAAAGTTTTGTCAATTTTTTCAAACTATTTCTTTTTAGGCTAATCACTACTTTATTTGAATTTACGTAATCATTGAATGTGTTAATTGCTTGAGTTTTGTTTCATTATGCCAAAAGGTTTTATTTCAATTCTTATATTAATTAGTACTGTGTATATAAAAAATCACGAGATGAAATATTTGTGAGATAGTAACTCACTGATGATAATAGTGGGTGTGTCGCTCAATTTCGTGGATTAGTTGAAGTTAGACATTAACACTGTTGGATGCCGGCTAAGTGGTCTAGTGGTTAGGCGTTCGCACACTAGACTGATAGGTCCTGGGTTCGGATCTCGTGGAATGCGGGAATGTGTATGCTCACTTTTGAGAAGTCCCATACTAGGACTAAACGGCCGTCCAATGCTTACAGGTTTTCTATGGTGATCTAACTTCAATTGACTCATGCTCTCAACCATAGAAAAAAACTCAAGTTTTGAAGCAAAATATTAGCCTATTTGTATATATGACTCAGACCTCAAATAAGTCATATAGAGATTGGTGTTTTACTGAATCAAAAGTTTATATGCGGTTAAATCTCCAATTTTCAAAAAATTTCTTTGTCATTCTCTGTGTACGGAATTATTTATTACAACATTTAAAAAAATGTTTTACCAGAAAATTAGGATTTAATAAAACAATTACTATGAATTTTACTTTCCTCTACTGTAATTATAACAAATACCACATGTTTCTTTTGTTCAATAACGTTATGATATCTCTCTTGATTATTTCGTTCATTTATATATAATGAACGTTTACTTACATTGAGAGTTACTAGAATCAATTTTTAAAAGAGCAAGGTGATTTAATTTAGTGTACACTAGATGCAAAGTTACATTTGCGAAACATTTTATTGATTTATACAAATCAGTACATATTTAGAAGATCTTGTATCTAGAAACGGAAAGGATTCCACTTTTCATTTAACAATGTCGGTTTCACTTTACGGCTGCGAAACATGGTCATTAAGAGTAGAAGATACTCGTAAGCTACTAGTATTTGACCACAGATGCCTTAGAAATATTGCTCTCATTTGCTGAGATCGCCGAGTAAGTAATAGTGGTGTTAGATGCAGGGTATTAGGAAATGATGGTAAATCAGTTGATGAGGTTGCGAATGTTCATCGACTGAGATGGTTGAGCGACGTGTTTCGTATGCCTGAACACCGTTTACCACAATACGCAATGCTAACCGGTGTTGGGAATGGTTTGAAGAAAGTTGGGGGCGGCCAAACCAAAACGTGGCATCAGTGCTTGAGGTCACTAACTTTTAGCCTGAGCCATGTTGGTAAATGCAGACTACTTGGTTGGGGTTCGCGTGACTATCGTAACCAATGGTTGGAGACTCTATGTGACATGGCTCAGAATCGATCACAATGGCGTCAGTGTATACACTCTTTGTATTCCCTTAAACTGTGAGATTAGAATTGCTCTATGTCTTTCTTTCTGTGAACTAATTCTTTCTCCCTGTATCATATCCTTTTCTGCAATCTTTGTTGATACA